ATCGACTCCGTAAACTTCCTCTCGACTTCACAGTGGCCGGGGAGAAGTTCAGCCTCAGGTCACTGTATTCGGGGTAAATTAAAATCGCCCATGAGTAGGGATATCTGACGATTCATGTGGTTGCGGACATGCGGCAACCAGCTCAAACAGCGGCTCAGTGGACTGCGATATATCACGCCCACGGGCATCTCGCAGCGTCTGAGGTGGATCGAACACCATAACTGCTCACATAGACCATCAGCACTTCGGTAGGCGCTCACTCGTCTCCCACAAAAGGAAAACTTTATGTAAAGTAGTACGCCACCGCAGCGGAAGCGTGGGTAGCCGCTGATTTCCACTTCTTGGGCGGTTACGTCGGAGTTTAACCATGTCTCAGCAAGGCCTAATACGTCTGGTCGTTGAGAGTTTACAAAGTAGTACAGCTCATCGCGCTTGTTCATCAGACTGCAGACGTTAGTAAAGGCTACGCAAAGGCAGCGGTAGGAACCGCTGGGCGCGCCTGAAGCAGTAGAAACCGGTTGATCCGAATTCGCGGAGGAATCCGGGTGACTACCCGAAAATGTACAGTACGGAGATTTGCTTCCGTGCGTCGCTTTAGTTCAATCACCGCAGACTTGAGTTTCTCTATATCTGCTGGGTCAGCGCATCTGTAGATCTTTAGACGTTTCAGCCTATTCAGGCGGAACAATATAGACGTAGGACTTGCCTATTCGACAAAAGTCACATTCATAGGTCGAGTTTTGCCCTCGGTTCTCTTTCCTAGACGAGCGATCTGTTTCACTTTGAGCCCGCCCTCATCCACGTCGAGCAGTCTATCAATCAGAGTTTGCAAAAACTCGACATCATGTTCATAGCGCACCTGAGGATTGGAATCACATGATTCAGGTGCGTGAAAGACCATGAGGCTGCGGCGCCTCAGGTCGCTAGACATTGTTCTTGGTTTCTTTGGTGTTTGCATTTTCCATTCGTTATCACCAATTTGCTTATTGCAAATTAGAGCTTTACTGTCAACAGAACAAATCGTAGGCCTTGAGGGCGAGCCTGCCGGAACGTTAGTACTTTGCTTCAGGGATGGATGCGGTGTTGTACTAAGCGCTGGCTGTTTCTCTGACAGTGTTGTAGGACACTGATCCATTTGTGAACAGTGCCTGTGTAAACTTGGGCAGAATGGAACCGAAAAGCCTGACAAGCGGATCAGTAGAGCGAAGTGCTCTAAAACGCCCAGCTCGATGTGTCCTACACCACAGTCAGAGAAACAGCCAGCGCTTAGTACAACATCGCATCCATCCCTGAAGCAAAGTACTAGCGTTCCGGCAGGCTCGCCCTCAAGGCCTACGATTTGTTCTGTTGACAGTAAAGCTCTAATTTGCAATAAGCAAATTGGTGATAACGAATGGAAAATGCAAACACCAAAGAAACCAAGAACAATGTCTAGCGACCTGAGGCGCCGCAGCCTCATGGTCTTTCACGCACCTGAATCATGTGATTCCAATCCTCAGGTGCGCTATGAACATGATGTCGAGTTTTTGCAATCTCTGATTGATAGACTGCTCGACGTGGATGAGGGCGGGCTCAAAGTGAAACAGATCGCTCGTCTAGCAAAGAGGACCGATGGCAAAAGTCGACCTATTAGGGTGACTTTTGTAGTAGGCAAAGTCCCAAATTAATATTGTCCCGACTTAATAGGATGAAATGTCTAAAGATCCACATGCGCGCTGACTTAGACCCAGCAGACAGAGAGAAACTCAAGTCTGCAATGATTGAACTAAAGCGACGCGCGGATAATGAAGAAGTAAAGCTCCGTTTCGTAAATTTTCGGGTAGTTACCCGGCTTCCTCCGCGAATCCGGATAAACAGGTTTCTGATGCTTTGGGCGCGCCCAGCGGTTCCTACCGCGGTCTGCGCGTAGCCTTTACTAACGTCTGCAGTCTGATGAACAAGCGCGACGTGCTGTACTACTTTGTAACCTCTCAGCGACCAGACGTATTAGGCCTTGCTGAGACATGGTTAAACTCCGACGTAACCGCCCAAGAAGTGGAAATCAGCGGCTACCCACGCTTCCGCTGCGGTGGCGTACTACTTTACATAAAGTTTTCCTTTTGTGGGAGACTAGTGAGCGCCTACCGAAGTGCTGATGGTCTATGTGAGCAGTTATGGTGTTCGATCCACCTCAGACGCTGCGAGATGCTCGTGGGCGTGATATATCGCAGTCCACTGAGCCGCTGTTTGGACTGGTTGCCGCATGTCCGCAACCACATGAGTCGTCAGACATCCCTACTCATGGGCGATTTCAATTTACCCCGAATACAGTGACCTGAGGCTGAACTTCTCCCCGGCCACTGTGAAGTCGAGAGGAAGTTTACGGAGTCGATATTTGAAACCGGGGCCACACAGCATATGAACCAACCGACACACATAACTGCGCGCGTGACTCCATCGTGTTTAGACCTGCTTTTGACTAGCTGTGAGCAACGTGTGCTCTGACATTCAAGTCTTAGAGCCTCTGGGAGCGAGTGACCACTCGATGATCATAGCCAGTTTGGAACTACCGCTGCCGTATTCTCCCCCGCTGGAGCCAGCCTTCAACTATTGGAAGGCGGACTTTAATGGCCTCATTCGAGCAGCGAGCCAGATAGACTGGTCTTTACCACAGGATTCGTCTATTGAAACCTGTTGGACTGTCATTAAAGAGGGAGTGAATTCGTTGTGCGCCCGATTTGTACCCCTCAAATATCGGAAAGTTGGGCCAGTCAAACACAGTCGACAAGGAGTACAGCAAACTGGCCCGACGACGACGTAGACTATGGAACAAATTCGTTTTATTTGGCTCTGCTGATGATTACAAGGCATACAAGTTACAGCTAAATCGCTGCAACAGCGCGAAAACAAAAAACGCAGAAGCTTCGAAGAGCAGCTTGCAACCGCCGCAAAAACTGCTCCCAAGAGAATCTTCGCATATGTGAAGCGGCGCCTGAGGCCTGCAGCCAATGTCCCAGTGTTAGAAGGCTCAGATGGACAGCCCCTAACCTTGAGTACAGATCGTGCGTCCGCATTGGCGGCGCACTTCGCCTCCGTATTTGCAAGTGACCAGGTGTTTGTAACGAGTTCGACGAGTACCGCTCCCGCTGAACTTGACAGCCTAGACTGCAGTATTGAAGATGTACGCAAGCTTCTAGCAAATCTTGACGGGACGAAGCCTGCTGGGCCAGATGGAATCCACCCACTGATTCTCAAGTCCCTATCGGCCATCATCGCGCCTTCTGTAACTGAGCTGTTCAACAGGTCACTATCCACTGGACTATTACCGAGCGACTGGAGATACTCAGTCGTAAAGCCAATACCGAAAGGTGGTAACTCAAGCAAAGTGGATAATTACTGGCCGATCTGTTTGACCGCTTTTTTGGCAAAGACGCTCGAGAGGATCGTGAAGATGAACCTTCTGCAGCTTCTCGAGTCGAAAAGCCTCTTGGCGCCCGCACAGCATGGTTTCGTGAAAGGTCACTCATGCATCACCAACCTATGGTTGACGAGGCACGAATGGTTACAGGCGCAGAACCAAGGCAAACCAGTCGACGTCATTTACATTGACTTCAGTAAGGCTTTTGACAAGGTAAATCATGCAGTGCTGCTCGAAAGGCTGAGGATGTGCTGTATTGTTGGTTCGCTGCACCAATGGATCAGGAATTTCCTTGTTGATCGAAAGTGGAGGGACCAGATGGACAACTATTTAACCGACTGGCATCCATCGAGCAGCGGCGTATCCCAAGGCACTGTACTAGGGTCGATTTTGTTTCTGATCCATGCAAACGATGTGTCTCAGCTATTCCAATCACCTTGTGCGTTGTTTGCAGATGACTTGAAGGTGTGGAGAGTAATTCGCACACCCAATGATTGTGATTTGCTTCAGCAGGACCTCGACCGCCTCTCCACGTGGTCTGCAGAGGTCAACCTTCCGATCAACCCGGTCAAGTCGCAATTCATGAGGCTGGGTAAGTGTGAACACAGTCGAACCTACACGGTGGCTGGTCAACCGTTGCATCCCGCGCCTTTCGTGCGCGACCTCGGTGTACTCTCACGATACGACCTAAAGTCCATGGACAACACGAATAGGATTTACCAAAACAGCCTTCGTATGCTTTGGGCGCTCAGGTGCAGCTTCAGCACTTGGTCCGAAGAGATTGCCACTCGTCTCTTCGTCTCAATAATACGACCAATGCTAGAGTATGGCTCTCCCGCGTATTGTCCTATCACCCGGGGCGATGTAGAAAAGATTGAGCGAGTGCAGCATGTAGCCACCAGGCTGATTCCCAACTTACGAGGTGTGCCGTACGAAGACCGGTGTAAGAAACTAGGGCTGTACACCCTAGCTTATCGTCGACTGAGGGTTGACCTCATCATGACGCACCGGATATTACATCTGGGTGATTACCTTATGTTGAGACCACTGCTTCATCTGCGCACACCAAGCAGCACACGAGGACACCGGTATAAGCTTGTCGTACCGGATTTGAAGCGGGTCGCTCACCAACTCTGTTTCGAACGCAGAGTGGTGAATGTATGGAACGACCTGCCGCAGCACGTAGTTGAGGCAAAGTCAGTGTCGGAATTTAAGAAGTTCCTTGACAAACACTTTGCCGACGCAAAATATATTGAGCGGAACACAACATAACGGGTATTTGTCCATGAGTGACGATTGATGCAGCTACACAGAGCAAACTCTACTTGCTGCTTCTAACCAGTAATCAGTTCACGCACACATCAAAATAACAGTGCGCAATTCAGCCTAGGCAAAGTAGGAATGTTACGACGCCGTAGACCACGGGATGTATTCGTGACGGCAGGATCAGATCTACAAGATTCGCGACTGTTCGAAGAGCAAGGTCCTAGGTAAGCCACCAGGCTCATGGAAGCTCTTCTTGGAAATTAACGTGTGCTTGAAGAAAAAGACAAAAGCGAATAAAGTATGCGACAAGTAGTGCCGAATAAAACATGCTACTTACAAATACTGGGTGTAAGTGCTGGCCCAGTTAGGCAGAGCCAGCTCACGGAACGCAGCATCAGTGTTCCGGAGTCCATTGATAAACTTCCGTTTGGGTACCTGGTAAGATATCGAGGTGGCCGGCAGAAAGTAGCCGTGGTTTGCGTCCGGTGGATACTCATCCCACCGTTGCAATACGCGGTGGAATGTGTACGACACGGAGACTTGAGAAGTGGGGGGAATTGACAGAAGCAGTTCAATAGTGCCCATGCGCTGCCGAGACAAGTTGGGAACTAGGTTCATCTTTACTGTAGCATGAAAGTGGAGAAGCGGGTTGCGAGTAGATTATCAAAAGAGTGATATAGGAAACATCGGCCAGTAGGAATGAAGCATTTCACTGCACCACAAGCCGAAGGTGAGTGGGTCCTTTCTGACAAATCACGTATAGTAAAACAATGACAGAAAAAGCATTCAAAACCGGTAAACACTAAAGGGCATCTATATGCGTCACACTGATGTGCACAAATACACTCGAAATTAAGTTCAATCATTTGGGATAAGTACTGGACAGGTGAATCCCATAAACGATTTACCTAATGTTTTCCTATAAGGCAAGGAGTGAAATATCCAAAAGCCATGTTCTAAACGACTGGAAAGACGAATGTACGGATCTAGTGAGAATTTGAGTTCGAGTAGAACGTGGGCCTACAGAGTAAAGCAGTACACGGATGACATAAAAGCTACCTGGGTCGACAAGCGTCCATGCGCCAGAGGAATTGTTGCGTTGATGCACCCTGAGACTGCTGAACAACACTTGAAGGTACCATGGAACCAGGTCCAAGTACACTGCCTTCAAGGTGAAATCACAGCGACTCGTTAACAATACCCGAATACCACCATCGGCGACACCGGAACCTGTGAGGTACTTGGACACGGAGAGCAAGGGTAAGGCTGACGGCGAAGTGGTGGATGGAGACGGAGCCACACTGAATAGAACCGGTCCATCGAGGTCGTCAAACAGATCGGAAGAGAGAGCGGTCATCTGGACCCGATTATCCTGGAGATGGTTCTTCCCGGAAGGGACCCACCGAGATACGTTAAGTTCCACCGGTGAGGTGATCACGATCACGCGGCTTGAATGTGCAGCGTCGCATGTGCCCTTCATAGTGGATCCTAGCAAACCTTTAAAGGACCAAGGTTCTGTAACGATAAGGAGGTGAGTAATAGAAGAGATATGGCAATTAGTATCCACAGAAAGTTAACATCAAAATTAAGTAGCGTAGTAGTCCGTGGATATCTGAGGAAATAGTTAAGTCATCCATTCACCATGAAACTGGAGTAACAGCGTCTGAAGGATGTGGGCGGAAATAAATTTAATCCAAAAATGTGGTGGAATATAATGAATAAAAATGAGGAGCAGATATATTCGTCTATGGTCGGTGAATTGTGCTACTGCAAACAGCATGAGGACAGCAGCAGCTATTTCTCTCACGTTGCGAGTTGCGACTGACTATCCAACAGCAGAAATTATTACCATTACTTTAAGTAGAGGAACGCATAGAATATTCTAGAGCTGATCGATGAAAAGCAAAGGTCTACAATATACGCCTGCAGATGTAATCAAAAAACTTACGATTTAAGTCTCTGTAAAGGATCCTGCGATCGAACACGACAGTCAAAGTTTGAACAGCTTCGATGCCAAGCAACGTACAAGAATGATCCTATAATATCAAGTTGAAAAAAGTGATTAAGCATACCCAGCAAACTCGACGAAGTCCAATCCTCAGGGACAGGTAGTTGGATCGAAACAAAGAAGTGGGAACTAACAGAGAAGCCAAACCCTTAAGATCTTTGCATGGCAACAACTTGATCCACGGAGTCAGGTTTTCACTGCACAAACTTTCGCCTGGCATTTGAGCATAACGAAGCCTGCCAGTATCATTGTTCAATAGATCACTTATTCCAACGGGTCTGTACGACCATTGAGGACCGGCGGAGTTCGCCTTACTGGACATACGATTCAGAGAAGCGCAAAAGAGTCCAGAAACTGCATGCGCTAACTCGAACCACGCTTGATCAACACTAGAATCGTGTTGGCTGGCATAACGAGACTCACTTCTTCGTAGCACGGTGAAACCATGCCCAAAGTTCCGCTCCTGTTGGAGCAACCATGACAAAGTTTCTTCCCCAATGTTCGTCATCCCAATAGCCTCTAACTATGGATAGATGCAACTCGTCCGCAGAATATTTTGACAAAAGATCTAGGAATGCTTTAGGAACAATGTTATGATGCTGCGCTATTATAGAGGTCTGTGAAACCGACATGGACACCCACCTCGATGTTCATATTCCGGTATCTGGGACACAAAGTTGAAGTGGAAGCTGGTGAAACCATGACCTAACTCTTTGATGAGAACCTCTTCACTAAAGCGTTCTTCTGCGAAACTCGCACTGCTCATACAAAAATATATCAAAATGACGGAAAACATTATCTGAAAGAGAATCGTAAATGACGTTGGATTTTGAAATGATGGACAGGAAAGATCAATTGAAAACCATATATTATTATATTTTATTATAATTATACTATATATATTATATTTGGCTAAACCAGCTGTTTCACTTCAATGTTTTATGCATCAGTTTCACGCTGCCAAGTGTCTTCTTGAATAAGCATAGGTGCCAAAGACCCATAAGGATGATCGTGACACAAATGCTTGGTGGGACTAAAACGTGATGAGCAAATTTACAAAACAACACGCGTCAGGCACATGGTGTCGTGCAAGAGGAAAAAAACCGCACAGCAGGGATAAGGACGATAAAATAGATAAGTTCCATGCAGTTCATTTGAACAAGTAGGGAGGGTTCCCAGCTTCATTTTGAAAACATCATAGCGCCTGAACCATAAGCTGAAAATCAGTCTAGAATCAAGATTTGAAACGAACGCAGTGGCAATAGTGATTACTGCATTAGCTAAAGGCTACTCAGTATTTTGGACGTCTGTAGAGTGTTCAAATGAGTCTCCATCATTCGAAGCTGTGCGGTTTCGAATCTCTGCTGTTGTTGCTGCAAAGTGGCTTCCAGATTTGCCGCTGAGACGGATATTTTGATTAGGTTTGCATGTCACCAAAATGTGTTGTCTCCGCTGATAGCAAGGATAATCGATTTAGCTATTTGAATCACGGATCAGCTACTTCGCAAAAAAGAGAAGACAAAGGCCGTGAGAAAGCCTTCAGTTGAACCCGGAAAACAGCGTTTTTGATATGCGTGATTTTGGTCTCTATAAAGAGGACAATCGGAAAGGCCAAATTATACGGATGAACGGACACCAGTTAGAGGAATGACCAGGATGGGGGACACACTATCCATGTCTCGACCGCACCAATTCATATTTAGCAACTGTATGAGGAGGGTTCCAAGGTTGTTCATTGGTTCGCCGAGCTGCGAAATTTGTTTTCAAACGTTTCACCGCCATGCGAGGCGGCATCATCAGTGCGTCGAGATGTGGAGTGTAATCTCGCTGATTGAATTGTCGACCCGTGATCGGCGTGCAGGTGGCCTTTCGAAAGTGACGGCTTTGATCTGTGTCCCGTGATCTCTACCCATTTCCCCGTGGCGGAGGTCGTCGCTTGGGTTGTTCCTATTCAAGCGGCGTCTCATAATTTCTCTAAGTTCTCTCCGTCGGAGGGGTTGGTAAACTGGGTCAATCTGGATATGCATGCTGATCGAGTCTTTTGTTGAGAACCACGCTTCCAGGAATTCCCTAGCTCTTCTTATTTCACCTCGTGCCAGGACTTCTGTTTTGGCCCAATCAAAGCTGTGTTCTTTTTCATCCACGTGTGCTGAGACTAGCGAAGATGCATAGTGTCTTTTGCATGCTCTTTTGTGCTCTTGTAATCGTGTTGTTAATTTGCTGCCTGTTTGGCCAACATAGTCCTTTCCGCAATTTCTACAACTTAGTCTATATACAACATTACTTTGCTCATGAGCTTCCAGTTTCTCTCTCGGTTTCGACAGAGTTTTTCTCAATGTAGCAGTTGGTTTGTGTGCTAGGATGAGGTGATGTTGTTTGAATAGTCTTGCTGCCATTTCGGATATATTCTTCATATAAGGTAAAACAACGCGTCTCTCCGTCGTTGGTGTAGACTGTCTGTTTGGTTTGTTGTGGTTCAGACACCTTCGGATGAAGCTTCGCGGATATCCGTTGAGTTCCAAAGTCTCACACTAGAGATGGCAGGCTTTAAAGTGACTTAGATTGCAACTTTCATCCCAATAACTTTTCCGTATCATCACTACATCACTGTTGTGGTATCCACTGACCGTAAGGATAACCTGCTGCTATTGCGTAATCTGATCTAGCCGACATCCTACATCAAAAGACAAAGGCCTCTGTCGGAATGTCTATTAAACACCTGGCAAACAGTATATGAAGACAAAAGATGGGGTCAAATAAATTGTTCATGTGAGAATGACCCATTGAACAACTACAAAATAGCTCAATCTCACTGGTGGACTTCAAGGAAAGCGTTTTTATTGGCTTGCCAATTGCCTTTAGGATGCGACGGGCCAAACTTCTCCGGGCTGCTAGCAAAAGCATCGGGTCCGAAAGCAGCTACGGGCAAGCTAACATAACAAAGATCGGTACTAATAGAAGTGGTAATAGTAGCAATAGTCTAACGAACATACACAGCCGAACAAAATCATAGTAAGCATTGGAAGAATACAGGTTTATTCACTGCATCATCATGGTACATTAGCTGAAGGTGAAGAACACGTTTCAGGTATTGTGCCGCAAGAAGTACAGAACTCTTGTTATTTTTTCACACGCCGTTTTTTATTGTTGTCCTTTTCAATGGTTAAGCATTAAGCATCTGAATCTAAACAGGTATGTAAACAGGTCCTCCACTGGTTTCCACTACGCACCATAACCTGAATTATTTCCAGCCAACGCCACTCTTAGTTCTTTGGTCCCTAACCAGGCAGACGTGTGAATCCAACGGCAGCATGACGTGAAGTCAACGATTTCGTAAGCTGTCGCCAAGTGGACGGTTGACAACCACAGGATCTCTTCTGGCCACGTCCTGCACGAGTGAAAAGGGTGCAATAGGACAAACGCTCAGCTGAAATACAAAGGATTTGACCGAGCAATCCTTGCTGACGCAACAAAACTAGGCTATTGAGGAGCATACACGCAATCTTTAAGACACGACGTCTGACTTCACTGCTGAAAATACGTTGATGCCACCACACACTAGCTATCCTCCTCAAGCACCCGAGCGCAGGCGCATGTCATCCACGCGAACTGGCCATGACTCGCTTCCATATATCAACACCACCCGAACAGTGGCACTATAAACGCGACTCCTTACCAAGAGGAAAACATCCGGATTGACAAAAGCGGACAGAGCTTTAACGATGCAGCGGCAAAGATCGGTAGACAATACTGGCTGAGATAAAAGAAGAGGCAGGTATATGAAGAACGGAACTTGGATATTACAGGCAGTTCAACATTAACACAGCTCAGGGTGGCAACATCTGATAACTAGCAGCAGCAGCATCTAGGAGTTCAGAATGATCGCGACACTGAATTGCAATCACAAATAGGGAAAAAGAACAAGTTGAAAATAACAATCTTGAACTTCGGATATTCGAATATAAGGTTCCCTCGGTATGAAAGACCGTACGTACAAGAGCAAAGAGACAGCCGCCTTTATCTATGACAGGGAGACAGTCGCCACCAACCTAAACATTCGGTCGAGTGGAATGAATGGAAAGAAATGAGGGACAGGTAAATTTGAAAGTTGCAACTGTAAACATCATGATAAGAACAAAAAACAGGCAGCCATTTCTCGCACATCAACAACGACAACAGCACATCAGCAATATGAACTGACGCTTCGCTGCCGCACAAATACGGTGACCTAAGGATCAAAAAACAATAAAAGCAGGATAAGTGGGACACAGTGGTAAACGTTAATGCCCCAAAGAAGCATTTAGGGTTAAGGTACTTACATCTTGTCGAGAACATACCGTCACGTGCAGCTGACTATCGTGCTAAGCTAAGGTGGTATCAGTGAAACGGCTTCCTTGCGGCTTTCATTGCCCCGCGTCATAACTGAAAGGAGGGGCACATCCTAACGAATCGACCTGTGGCGATTGTTTTCGACAAGAACCAACGGGTTCTGCCAAGATTTCTTCAAACAGTCACGTTTATCAACAAAACGAATAGTTAACAAGGTCGCCCAATATCTATACATGTAATCCGCATGCTCTACGTTTTGTCTTGTCGTTCGGAAAATACACGGTTCACGAAGTCCGCCATCGTTGTTTTGTCAGCCAATCTGTAGCCGGGGTCGAACAGCCAATCGGAGTGAAGTCATGAGTATAGCAACGCAGAGGCCGACGGTTCCTATAGCCAATTGGAGTGAAGCGATGGTCATAAGAACTGATGACAGATGTTATTAGAATTGAAGAACCCAATAATGTCGGTTGCAATTGGAAGAATTGACATCCATTCTCCAGCATCAGCAAAAGCAATTTGAAAAAAGTCAATCAAGGTTGATCGAAAATCCTCAGCGCCTGGTTGTGCAGCAGACAAGACCGAGCACTGAAAAGCAGCCTATTTCAGCGGATGCCGTGTTAAACAGTATTTGCGAATTCCAATATGACCCAGGTACCGGCGTTACCTTCGTCTCGGTTCAGAAAATACGAAAATATTTTCTGATCTGAATTTTCCTATGCTGATGACGGATGGAAATGCAGGCTACTTCTGCGGAAGTTAGGAGCGAAAGAGCACGACAGGTTTCTCAAATTCATCCTTCCAAAGTACCCCAAAGGTTACACTTTTGAACAACTTGCACCTATGTTGAATGACATTTTTGGTGAGCAGTCTTCTCAATTTAATGTCCGTTACAACTGTATGAAACTCGTTAAATCTGCGACGGACGCTTTCATTACTTCGGCTAGCTACGTCAATCGCCACTGCGAGCGCTGCAAACTTAGAGATGACGGACGACCGGTTTAAGGCAGATTTTTGTTTGCGGTTTTTAAGCACCAGAGGATGTCGAAATATATAAGAGAACTTTTAACAAGATCGAGCAGGATCTGACCCTCAACTTTATGTCCAATACTTCCGAGTACCAATGACTGATAAATGTGAAGCACGATACCAATCTGATTTCCGAAGGTTCCAGACCAGGTGCCGTAGATGTGTTGACGGTGTCAAACCAACATGCAAGTTCAAAGCATGGTCCGAGCCTGATGAAGCCAAGTAAGCCACCATCCGCATGCTGGCAATGTGGGGAATGGCACTACGTCGGATTCTGTCCGTTCAAAAGGCATCGTTAAAAATTCAACAAGCTTGGCCATAAAGAAGAACATTGTTGCTCTATCAAGAAGCACGTTACCGCCAAGAATCTTAGAAAGTCTCTACCAATATCCTTCACAAAACATTAGTCTCGGTTTTATGCTGTCTTTGCTACTTTCGATGAGCT